AAAATGGACGGACTATCATATATGATATGCGGATTTATCATGCACAGTTTATAAACCACATACATGTATTTACCTTAAAATCCAAGTATGGTCATAATTTGATAAATTCATTATACTAAAAAATTCAGAATTTTAAAAGTTTTTTATTATCAGATGGATTACCATCTAGATTGGGTTGACAACTCGTGAACTGCTATATCCAATTATTTTTCCGGTTAATGTTGGAATTGCGTGGTGTGTTTGGTGACTATAGATAGTATCGGTGCCGTGTCTTGCATTTATCACACTTTCTTGTTAATTAATTAGAGTGAGTATAATCGGGTGATGTAAGTGAGATGCACAACTTTTTTTTTATGTTGAGATGTACAAGTTATTATATCACATTTGTACTTATGTAGAGAAAAGAGAAGAAAAACATGCTACAGATTTGTAGCCAATTATAGCACAAGCTTCAACCATGTGTGAGAGATGGCCGGATTGGTTAGATATTAATGATACAATATATATTTATAACTACCTATTATATAAGTGCTCTATTAGATTGGTTATAAATGATATTTTAATTTTTAAGGCTAGTTGTTGACTATATTATTAAATTAGCTCATAGTGGATGATCTTATTGGTTTGAATATATAATCTGATTCATGCTTTTAACAAGGCATATTTGAAAACACAGTTATGCATATTGGTGTGCTTGGACAAACGATATTATTGTTCTTATTCATAAGTACAGCAGCTTTGCGCTGCTTGTTTTTATAAAATAACATAAATTTAGCCCTCGTTCCATTGTGCATATGTTTATAATATATATTATTCCAAGTTGATCTAATGTCAGCCAACTTGGAATTTTTTTTCCTTTCCCGTAAGAGAAACCCAAATGTGATATTTCGCCGATCAAACAAATAACCTAATATATATTAGATCTAACTTGGCATCTGTTCCACACCATGACAGTGGCCTGTGTTCAGTTCAGACAATAGGTAGAGCAGGAGTACCTAGGGCCGATGTAGTCCAATACTATATACGGCACTTTTACCGTACCATATACCACTAGCAGCAGTATAAATGTAAAATTTAAATCTAACCATTCATCTACATATATAGGCATGTAAAATATTTTATTTGAGACTTCGACACGTATAAATTTAACATGCCATTTGTAGATTTGGTTATAAAAATATGGGGTTAATAATCAACCAACAAGGACGAGCCATCATATATAGGGCATGGCTTCAAAGCACATGTTAACATCTGATACGTAAGAGGCTACACTGCACACCGTAGAGGGGGACCAGCTTTAATGGTATATGTTATAAAAGTTAGTCGATATAGCGAAACGACGACTAACCTTCCCGATCGCTTTAATCATTAATCACCAAAGACATGCCAGATGACGACACAAGAAAACACGATATTTGTTAACGAGGTTCAGCCGAAGCCTATATCTCCGGGGCTCTAATTATGGGCGCTCCACCCCAACCAATATAGCACCTAGCCGCTACGAGTCCATGGCACGCCGCCATCATCTCCCTGAGTGTCTACGCTACATTGTAGTCACCATGGTTACATTGTGGTGCCCCCATCTCTATTTAATAGAGTTGCCGGGTCTGACACCTATTACAACTCTAAGTCTAATTGTAACCAAATAGGACTAGTATATTCGACACCTATTCTAACAAACTCCACCTTGGTGAATATACACCATTTAGAAGTAGTAGAATCACCATGTCGATCCACCGGTCCTCCAGACTTGGGTTGTCTTCTTTGCAGCTTCACCACAAGCCACTCGACGAGTCTGCACCAGACCTGCCGTCTTCAAAAACAATTGCTATCCCAGCAACCGCTTCCTCTTGGACTCCACCTGCAATAGTGCACCCTCGCAGCTTGTAAAGTTGCGACTCCACCTTCTCTCCAGTCATCATAGTCGTCTTGCCCTTCATGATCTCCATGGTGTTCTTATTCCGATTACCGCGGAATATTAACCCTTCTTCATGCAAGGTTCCAAGCGAAATCAGATTCCTCTTTAGCCCTGGTACATGCCTGACTCCCTGAAGAACATGTTCACCTCCATCTTCTAGCTTGATTTTGACTTCACCTACTCCCACGGCCGGATAACTTGTGTCATCGCCTAAGTAGACAAAACCAAACTCATCGGACTTGTATGAAGAGAACCACTCCTTCCTTGGCGTCACATGAAACGAGCTAGCTGAATCTAATATGCACGCTTCTGCATCCTTATACTGTGCACTTGACATTGTGAGAAGATCACAACCATCGCTATCCGAGTCATTTGAAGAATTCACTGTATTAGCCTTTGCTTTTCCCTTCAGTGTTGGACACTCCCTGCTTATATGCCCCCACTCATCACATCTGAAGCACTGCACCATCTTCTTCTTTTTGTTCTTCTTTATCTTATGCCCAGCATGATCTTCTTTGACTAGCAAACCCTCCGCTTGAGATGTTTCACCCTCTCTGTTCTTTCTCATCTGATCACGAGCCAACAATGCAGAAGTGATATCTTTAGTTTTGATGGTCTCCTTGTCGTACGTCAAAGTAGTCACCCCATGCTGATACGATTCAGGTAACGAACACAAAAGAACTATGGCCTTGTCTTCATCGTCAACTTCCACATCCATCTTCACAAGATTTGTGACTAGTTGATTGAAAACGTTCACATGTGCTGTCAAATCCGCCCCTTCCTGCATCTTTAGCCCATACAACTTCTGCTTCAGATATAGCTTATTGGTCAGAGTCTTGGACATAAACTGAGCTTCCAACTTTTCCCAAATTATCTTTGGTGAGGTCTTCTCCATCACATGATACATGACCTGATCTGAGAGACATAGCCTTATTGTCGCAGCCGCCTGCAACTGCATCTCCTCCCAATCGTCATCCTCCATCTTGGCCTGTTTGACACCTTCAAAGCCTTTGAAACTCCTTGTTGAGCTAACAAATCTTTGACCATGGTCTGCCACAAGCCAAAATTTCCGGAGCCGTCAAACTTCACCAAATCAAATTTCATACCTGTCAGCGCCATCTTGCCAACCTGCGACCTGACTGGTCTGTCGCCACCAGAATACTCGCCCTGCTCAGAACCGTCTGTATTCGTCTTTACAATCCTGTCTTGTGATCTGATCTCAGACATTCAACAGCAAACCGCGTTCGCTATAATCCGATGTGACCAATCTTCCACCCTCGATGTGCCTCTGCTCCTCACGATCTCATCGGCCTGGCTTGGTGCACCCGTACGCGCGCACTTTGTCACGAGCCTCTGCACAGCAAGCCAATTGAGCCCCTTGTACCACGTTTGACCAATGTCACGAGCTTTGTTGCTTTGGTTCGGCTCTCTCTTCGGCTGCCTATTTAAAGGACAAGCAATACGAGCCTGATGTGATCACGAGTCCGTATCCATACATAACTCTGAATCCAACTCCATAGCAACTGCGGTCGAGTCGGCCTTGTCCGACTCCGACAAGTCGTTTTATCATCCAACTCCTCCACTCGATTTCTTTTTGGCTCATCAATATGTCAGACTCCCATGGCACAAAAGTTTCCATATGTATGAAGCATTGGTACTGCTACCCCTTTGATCCCTTGTGCACGCATGATATGCATGCCCTGCATGCTGCATGTTCATGTGAATATGCTCAAGCCATGCACGAGTTCCAAAGCTTCAGGTTCCCTGTCCTTGTTTGCATGCAATTGCTCGTTTTGGTTTTGCTTCTTGCCTTTACTCGTTAGTCTTTGCACGCCGTACGTATAAGACAGCACCTATGCTATCTGTCCGTGCCTATGCACGCACCGCAGTCGCAGCCCTCGTGTTCACTGTCCATAATTCTGTCGTCTCGGCCCTCCACGTCCGCCGTGCCATGCCACGCTCGCCGGTTTCGCCCTTCCGTCACTGGCCTCCCTGCCGCCGCGGATCCGCGTTTGCGGCGTGCGTCGGGTGCGCCGTCCATGGCGCTACCCCTCCGATCTCTCCGGTCGCCTTCGGCCACGCTCGGCCCCGTCTTCCGGTCACGTTCCGCCATCGCCAGTCTGATCGCGAGTGAGGTCGTCGCCTCCGCAACGTCCTCATTGTCGCCATCGATCTCATTGCCACGGCTGACAATCTCCTGTCGATGCGCGATCCCACCTCGTGTTTCCTCCTCCACATGTCTTCTTGTTCCAATGACGAAACCTTCTGCTATGATACCACTTGTTATAAATGTTAGTCGATATAGCGGAACGACAACTAACCTTCCCGATCGCTTCAATCATTGATCACCAAAGACACGCTAGATGACGACACAAGAAAACACGATATTTGTTAACGAGGTTCAGCCGAAGCCTATATCCCCGGGGCTCTGATTATGGGTGCTCCTCCCCAACCAATATAGCACCTAGCTGCTACGAGTCCATGGCACACCGCCATCATCTCCCTGCATGTCTACGCTCCATTGTAGTCGCCATGGTTACATTGTGGTGCCCCCCTCTCTATTTAATAGAGTTGCCGGGTTACAAAGTCTGACTCTAACTCTACCCCCTAACACCTATTACAACTCCAAGTCCAATTATAACAAAATAGGACTAGTATATTCGACACCTATTCTAACAGTATATTTCTCGATCCCGATTTGAGTGCTTCTTATTAAGAAATATTGTGCAGGTTTTTCGTCTTTTAGGTAGAGTTTTTTATTAATTAAATTCCAATTTTACACCTCTAAAATATTTTACTACCCACGCTGTCACGTGTACTATAGTCAATCATAGAATCAGATCTTATGGATCCAAATTAAAGTGACGGATGGCCCGTAATCATTTTAGACCGTGTTTAGTTTCAAAATAATTCTTTAAACTTTTCAACTTTTTCATCACATCAAAACTTTCCTACACACATAAACTTCCAACTTTTTTATCACATCGTTTCAATTTCAACCAAACTTTCAATTTTGGTGTGAACTAAACACAGCCTTAGAGTACTATATATACATACCGTGGCCATGGCAGTACGTAAGGCACCAAGGACCTAGCAGAAGGTGCCATTGTAAAAGCATACAAGCCAAGAGAGATGACGAGTAGCATGAAGTTGCCCGCTACCTTCCTCTCCTTCAGTTCACATCAGCCCAGAGGAAGCTCCCATTGTTCTGTAGCCTCTGCTGCATATGCTGCTGAACCAAGACTCGGCGAAGGAGCAGTGGTGTCTAAGAAGACGCCAAGCCGTTCTCCCTGCAGGACGATGGCCAAGGTTGATGACAAGAATGATCTCTGCAGAATGAATCAAGCAAAGTTCGAGCCTTCCATCTGGGGAGATTTCTTCCTCTCTTACTGCAACCCGTTGGCTTACTCTGACAATCAGGTTTATTCTCGCTTCACATTCTGCAATCTCTCCGTCTCTGTCTCTATATGTTTCTGTGTTTTACGAGTCTGAATTAACTAGCCGGAAATCTCTAAATTTGCAGTCTCACAGAAACTTTCCCTTAGGAAAACTACATAAACAAATAAATATATAAGCACGGAAATGGAAGAAGCTATTGTTTAATAACAGAGAATATTTTCTTCAGAATGTTTATTCATTCCAAAAGTACAGCGCATGTACTTAATAAATGATTTTCTCACAGCCACCTACCACAGAATATTTGTTCCAGAATGTTTACAGTTTATGAATAATTAGCTGTGATTTTCTTACGGCCGCATGTAAATTGATTTCAGGCGGAGAGTTAGTTTAATTAAGAATGTTCCTTTTTCCCGCAGAGATCGATGGAAGAACGGGCAGAGTATCTGAAGAAAGAGGTGGCAAAACTCATAGTAAATTCAAGAACCGATAGCCTTCCGGAGAAGCTGCATCTTATAGATGTACTGGAGCGTCTCTGTGTGGACCATCTGTTCGAAGAGGAGATTAACGCTGTGATGGATGAAATTAGCGACGCCGATGTCAGTGACTGTGAACTGCATACTGTAGCTCTGTGGTTTTATCTTCTCCTTAAACATCGACACAGAGTTTCTCCAGGTAATTAATAACGAAATCATGACCAGGAGATAAGTTTTTTTCACCAATGATATTCTTTATGGAGTAGTAAAACGGGTGCTAACTGGCTGAAAAAATAATCATATTTGGGCCTTTTTCCCTTCACATTTTTTAACATTTCCACGAAATGCTGGCGGCATTCACAAACTTCGATTCTGTATTCTAGATGTGTTTCTGAAGTTTAGAGATGAAGATGGAATTTTTGAGGCAGAAGACGCAAGGGACCTGCTAAGTCTTTACAATGCCGCTCATCTCACGACACATGGAGAGGGAATACTTGATGAAGCTATTTCCTTCACTAAAAGGCAACTAAGATCATTGATGCCCAAAGTTGTTGAAGGGTCACTAGCTCATGACATAAATTCTGCGCTTGAGATCCCTCTCCCTAGAAGGGTTCGAATATATGAGGCCAAGTATTTTATGTCTACATATGAGAAAGGAGCTTCAGTGAATGAGATGATTATGGAACTTGCAAAGTTGAGCTACAATATCATGCAAATCCATCATCAGCAAGAGCTGAAAATAATTACAAGGTTAAGTAACCTGTTTTTGTTAAAATTATGTTCCATATTAATAAACGTTAAAAATGTATTTTACATGTGTCTACAGGTGGTGGAAGGATCTGCAACTTGAAACAAGGCTCTCCTTCGCAAGAGATAGAGTTGTGGAGTGCTACTTTTGGATAGCAGGAGTATATTTCGAGCCATGTTACTCTCGAGGTCGAATTATATTGACAAAAGTGCTAGCCATTGTGTCTATTTTGGACGATATTTATGATGTATATGGATCTCCAGAAGAGTGTGAACAGTTTACCAAATGTATAGAAAGGTCTGTATTCTCTCATATTTGGATTAAATTATTTATTTACTGTGAATAACAAAAATAAACAAAACCTAAAACTCTAATTCAATTCAATACATTATATATTAATTCAATTGAAATTTCGATAACTGCAACTCATTTATCCGATTCATGAGTCTCCCTCCATCCCAAAATAGTTTTTTTTTCAAGGATTTAAATTTTATCTCAAATAGTTACCCAGGCATCTCAATTTTAAAATTTTCCCTATTTTACCCTCAACATCCCACTCTCAACCGTACACTATTTAATAAGGAATATTATAGTTTTATTTTCCTTAAACCTTAATCTACGCTGAATAAACTAGAACGGGACCTATTTTCCTGACGGATGGAGTATTATCATAATTATATTTCTCATCAGTCATCAAGTAGTATTTCTTTGAACTCTTGTATAGCACATATAAGTTTTATAGGTGTAAATGATGTATTATCTTGTGGGCGGTCGTGTCCAATGTTTTTGACGGTGATTAATCATGTTCAGCTGGGACCCAAAGATGGGTTGTAATCTCCCCGAGCTTCTGAGATTTGCGTTTGAAAAAATTTTGGATACCTACCAAAACATTGATGATGAGTGTCGAAACATGAATTCGGCAATAATAAAAGAGGTAGCGTACGAGACCTAAAAGTGGATGGATACGGAGACAAGGATTTAGACAGGTTCAGCTCCTCTCAATAAGAGGTAATAACCTACTCCTGTTTGGGGATTTGAATCCGCCGAGTATAGTATAGATCTGACGATCTAGTTGTCTCATGCCCCCTAGAGAGCCTACTGCCCACCTTATATATGATGGGGGACTGGATTACAAGATAGAAACCTTAACCAACACGGTATCGGTTTCCTAAATCTACTTTACAATCTTATCAAACCAGGACATAAGGCCGTTCCATAATATACAGGGAAACGTAATACCCAAGTCATGATCCGTTACATATTTTATAGATATAAGTTATCCCCTATAACCAGTCGGATAACCACGCCATGTGGGTATGGGGTACCCATAATCTCCACAGTAGCCCCTGAGACCTTCGCAGTCGAAAAGATAATCTTCTCTCAAACCAGATTACTCCAAAGCCGAGTGCTTCAATCATCATCGCCATGATCTCCCGAGTACTTTTACCAAATATGAAGACTGTGCTGGGCTGAAAAATAAAGTCAGGTGCATCGACTAGATGCACCTAATAGGTGTAGCCCCCGACTATGTGGTTAGCTGAACAAACTAAGCATATAGTCAAGGAATAAATAATCCAACCAACCGAGTGGTTTTGATAATTGTAGTCAACCAAGTGACTTAATATTAATATATAGCATATGCGGTGTGAATCCCGAATAACATGATCCGAGTGATGTACCGACTGCTTTGTAAAATATGATGCATGCAATCTAAAATTGACTACATCATTGAAAATTCACATAGCAAAACAGCTATAAAGAAGAGCTTGATGTTGTGAATAAAGAAATTTCCAAAGTATTGGGCATACACCACACGTACACTACTTTAACAGATGTGCTTAAGTCCCTAAAAGACACATGGTTTCACCACACCTGGAAATATATGACATAGGTGGTGTAACATCTGAGTAAATAAACTCATAAGGATTTACCAACCGTCTAGAAAATAACCAAAATATATAATCAGCCTAAGCCATAATATTAGTCAATAAAAATGCACACTTACGTGGCAAAAAACAATAATATTGTATCCAATCAATTGCTTGATAAACCCAAACAGCGCCATGACTATATAAAAAAGTCACCGGGGCAGCTATAAAAAGCTTTACTGTTTGACACCTTTTAAGATGCATTGTACCAACTCCTAAAAAGTTGAGTAACTGTGGTATAAAAGGATTTTAAGGTATTGGGCACTTGATCACGCGCACTTTGGCCTAAGCAAAAAGTGCCTAAGTCCCTAAAAGAACGTGACAGGCCACACCTGAAAATATGGGCTGCAGACATATTAGGCCTAGGCCAAAAAATATGCCTTCGACACCCTTTAAAGGATGACGCATGTAACATGCTCCCGAGTGATAAATCTTCCGGGTGATATAGACCAAGTATAGCTCATATGAATAGCTTCTGATCTGAGTGACTATCCCTTATGGGATACTCCCAAATAGATAAAATAATTGAATCCCGACTGGCGCAAGTATTCGGTTGATAACCCTTACGGGGAATAATAAATAGTCCAGTCTTTGAGCATAGAAAATAAACCCATGATCATGAATTCATGTTGCATGTATCCGGAATAAGTCCAAATTGAAGGTATGATACTTGTGTTTGAGCTAGTAAGCCTTTGAGCATATAGCTTGTCCTTCTGTCGTAGTCATAATTGTCCATTGATGGTAGCTGACGCAGTTGGCATAGAGACAAGACGACCAATATAGAGATAATATTGCCCACCAGAGGTGGCAAAAATATTGGTGGTAGTGAAGATAGTGATACCAATCAAAAGTGATGAAGTTGCACAGCCATGGAGGCAAAGAAACCAGTCAGCAACAGTCAGGTCAGCCAGCAATGAATATGAAGGCGCCCAGCGATAAAGTTGTGTAGCCATGGCAGCGAAATAATCAGTCGGTGACAGACGAGGCAAATCAAAGGCTACGACGAAATCCACCAATCATGAAGATGAAGAAAATAGTCCGCAACGACAAACGCAACTGACATAATGAAGATGATGATGTCGGCGATCCTGTTAATAGCAGTGTCGCAACCAATGATAATGACGAACACGCTCATCAGCATTTGCATAGTAGGTCAACCGTGAAGGTGAAATAATAAGTCGGTGAAGACATAATCATCCATTAGCAACAGCGGAGATGTCAGAGCCGATGAAGCAGAGGTGCTGGTGATGATGTCAGTGACAATAATCCATCAAATTAATGTTATAGCTGTTGTAGATGCTTCACTTGGAGGAGAGTTGATGTTGTTGCCCAACTCGTCTAAACCGAAATATTTGAAGTTGTTGAAGTAGAATGTCTGCTCCGAAGCAAAGATGAAGATATTGACTCCTGGAGTTGACTTGTTGGCTGATTAATTGATTTCTTCAGCTTGACATAAAATTTGTCAAATTTTGAGCCTTGTATTTGTGTAGCCCCCGACTCTTTGATTAGTTGGGAAACAACTGAACATAGAGTCGAGAACTGTAGCTTCTTGTCGTTGAATAGTCATTGCTTGATTGAAGATATGTGTTGAAGATGTCCAAGTAGAAATCCTGAATATTGGAGAGCCACTTGTAGTAAAATAACACGGCATCGCATGCCGAGATGTCGAGGTTCACAAAGACGTCGTGGTTGGTGAAGTAGCAAAACTTACGAAGTAGCAACAATAGAGTTTGCTGGTGCCGAAGATAATAAAGATGAGGTCGCTCTACCATGATGACAAAGTTGCATTGCCGTGATGAAGTGAATACGAGTCGGCGGCAACAGAAGCAAACTGGTAGTGAAGACGCGCAGTTGTGAAGATAAAAGCACCAGTCGGCAGCGGCATAACCAGTCGGCGACGGAAGACGATGATGTCCATCAGTAGTGGTAGCTGTATAAACCAGACGTAGAGGTGAGGGCACTAGTCAGCAGCAGACGAGACGACCGGCGATGAAGACGATAAGGCCAATCAACACTGGTAGAATCATGCAGCCATGGAAGTGAAGAAACCAGTCAGCGGTAGACGTAGACAGCTTGCGTTGAAGATGATGACGCCTGTTAGCGATGGCAGCGACATGGACAGCCGTGAAGATGATAGCAATAGTTGGCGTCACACGAGGCAGCCGGTCGGTGAAGACGTAGACGCGCAATGTCACAGCCAGATTTTTTGTTTTAGGATTTATAAATTATTTAATAAATTATTAATAGAATTTATATTAAATGTTCATTAATTTTCAAGTAAAGTTAAATGTGGGAAATAAAATTTTCTAAATTTAAAGCATGGCTGGATTTAATTTTTATTAAATTCTCCATGATTAATTATACTCTCTGAAATTTTCTCTGATTTTTCAGAGCTCAATTCCTAAATGATACAAAGAACAGTTCAGTAATTAGTTAATCAATAATCAATTAATGATCTAATTATAATTATGTTAAGAGCTTTTCTTGTTTAAAAATCCTTAAATTTTAAATTGTTGTTTAAAAGGAATTATTAGAAATGATCCTAAAAGCCTAAAAGAGAAGATCTAATTTAATTTTGTTAAATCTCAATATAAAATTGGGCTAGATAAAATTTTGTTAAATACTTCTCTTGATTCTTTAGTTCCTAGATTTTTCTGGGACTTATTTGAGCCAAGGAAGTATTTTTAATAAATGGAATTGCATTTCAGGAATAATTTAAATAGAAAAATGTTTTTAAATCCTCCTTTTGGCTTTGGGCCGAAAGTTGGCCCAAAACAGCTCTCTCTCTCCCTCGGCCCAATCGGCCCAGTTAGCCGCCCGCGCGCGCGCGTTCGCCCGCTGACAGGTGGGTCAGGCCCGTCGTCTTCCTCCCGACGAAACCCTAGCCGCCGCCGCCATTCCAATCCGGTCGATCCTTTCCGTTTCCGATGAAATCAATAGAGGGGAAATGATCTTCTCGATCTCCTCTATCTTTTCTCTTTTGGAATCACCGGCTAAAATCGCTTGGAAAGTGTTGGATTCGAGGTCGATTCGGATCGGTCTCTCTCTCTCTCCGAACCCTAACTTTCCATCCCGTCGCCGGCCGCCGTGGGCCTTCGTCGCCGCCTCCTAGCCCCTATAAAAAGATCCCCGGGACCTCCTCTCTCCACCGCCACTTTTGTCTTAGCCCGCCGTCGCGTGTAGCGCCGCCTCCGTGTAGCCCTAGCCGCCGCCGTCGTTGTTGTCGGTTCAGCCGCGACGCGCCGCCGTTGCAGTCGCCGCCTTCGGTCGCCGTCGCCACCATCGGCATCGTGAGGTCGTCACCGTTCCCGTCCACTGCTTCGCCGCCGCCGAAGACCGCCGGAGCACCACCGTCACCGTCGACCCGAAGACCACCGCCGCTTCAACCTCGCCGCCGTCGTCGTCTGTCGTCGTTTGCCACCATCCAAGTGCTCGGTGAGTTCGCCGCGTCATCCTCTACGTGTTGGTGTCTTCCGTTTGTGCCGCCTCACCGTCGTTCGCCGTCGAGCATGCGTGAGCCGAGTCGCCGCCGGTGATGACGTTATCGCCGACGTCATCGTCGCCTTGTCCCGTGGACCGGTCGTGGGCCGATAGATCTCGGTCGTTCGTTTTGGATGGATCGATCTCGGCCGTCCATTCCGTAGACCGCCGCTGTGCACCCGGTCCTCCACGAACCCTAGCCGATGACGCTATAATTCCCTTTTCCTTTTCAAAAATAATTCATTATTGTGTCGTAATTCAATTAAAATCCATATAAATGCTTTAATCCGGTTTAATCTTTAAAAATTCATAACTAATTCATTGTAACTCAGTTTAATGTGGTTCAAGTTGCAAAAGTTGTATAAAATAAAGATCTACATATTAAAATTATCCATAAATTGAATTAAATTTATTTAATCCTTTTTAAATGGGCTTTAATTAGATTTAATCTTGTAAAATTCGTAATAAATTCATTTGAAGTCAGAATGAGGCCGTTCAAGTCTCATAATTCATCTAAAATTATGATCTACATGTTTGTTTACTTTTTATGTATTGTTTATTTGGTTTTTATTAGTCTTTTTCCTCGTTTTGTGTGTTAGCTTGTCGTTCCCGTCGTTTCGAAGGTTTGCGAGTGCGCTGGAAGTGTTCAAGAAGATTAATTGAAGACCCGTTATTACAAGGCAAGTCACACAGATCCTGAACACAATTCCTTTGAGCATGTTGATCCTATATTTAAATTCTCTATTTATTTCAACTGTGCATTTATTTTCTAATGTCACTGGGTGGTGTGAACTTATTCCTTTGTTATGGCCTGTTTGCATTGATTACTCTATTCCTTGATACCTTGGGTTATAATTTGGCTAGTTGGGCTTTATATATTGGTTCAGCTAGATGTTAGACATAATTGCTTAGCCATGCTTAGAAACATTAGCACACAATTGGGATAACTAATGTTTCACTATTACTTAATGATGGATATTTAATGATAGCTCATGATAGTCAATCGTGATTGGTTAATTAATTAATGTACCAACTAAAACTTGATAATGGTGGGTTGTGAGCACATGGTTTTGATGGTCGTGCTCATGACAATTAAGGACCGGTTCACGATTTTCGGTTGTGAAACATTAACCGTGCCAACCACAAGCCAGAATGGGCAACGGCTGGACACTTCGTATAACAAGGCTCGTTGCGGAGCACCAGACTGAGAAGTGGCGGAGATAAGCCCACGGGGGTCGCTGGGGAGTCCATGCCTTGTTTATAAGGGGGTGACTATGATCCGGGAACGGTGCACTGCTTTGAGTTGAGTTATGCGAGGGGTCTTGTCACAATCACTCAACATGGTGACGTGTCTGCGCGGACACGGCAACATGCTGGTGGGTTGTGTCTTGTGGGTACAGTGGTACACCTCTGCCCAGAGTAAAACTATTCGAATAGCCGTGCCCGCGGTTATGGGCGGGTCTAACAATGTATTTCGTGATTAGTCTCACACTTTTCACCATAATAAATGATGCTATAACTGGTAATAATTTGATTAGCTCCTGGTTTAGAATGGTATATTCCTGGTTTGGAGATAGATCTGTGCAGCCGGGTATGGTTGTTTAGAATGGTTGGGCCTGTGCAGCATGGGTGTGCTGTTCAGTGTTGATTAATATTGATGATTAATTACTCTATTGTTTTACAAATTCTCAAATGTTTGCTAAATGCTGCTTTTGCAAATGAGCCCTATATTATGCCATCCTTTGGTATCCTTGTGCACTTGCATATTTGCTGTATGGCTTGCTGAGTATGTCATATGCTCACCTTGCAATAATCAATCAAACCTCAGTTGAAGACAAGTTGCGAAGGAGAAGACGTTTGGCTTATACCCCAGTTGAGCTGCCTGTGGGAGTGGAGCCGGAGCTTCGCTAGATTTTATTTTCCGCTGTAGTTTTCTTCATGGTGAGGACTAAGTGCCTCTTAAGTAAGTATTTATCGTTTTAGTTAATTTGATGAATCTGTATATTAAATTGTCAGTTTGTGCACATCGGCTGATTCCTGGACGAGGATTTTATGCACAAATAAGTTCGGAAATTACTAGTGAATTTCTGGGCGTGACACGCAACAACGGCGGCATAATAGGCCAGCCGTGCAGGCGGAGACGCCAATCGGCGGCGGACGAGGCGGACAGTCGGTGAAGTCGATGACGCCCAACAACAGCGGCATAATAGGCCGGCCGTGCAAGCAGAAACTCCAGTCGGCGGCAGACGAGGCGGCCAGTCGGTGAAGTCGATGACGCCCGACAACGGCGGCATAATAGGCCGGCCGTGCAGGCGAAAACACCAGTCGGTGGTGGCGAAGGCAAGCCGGTCGGTGAAGACGTAGACGCCCAACAACGGTGGTGTGACCAACCAACCGTGAAGGCGGAGACACCAGTCGGCGGCAGACGAAGGCAGCCGGTCGGTAAAGACGTAGACGCCCAACAACGGTGGCATAATAGGCCAGGCGTGCAGGCAGAAACACCAGTCGGCGGCGGACGAGGCGGCCGGTCGGTGAATACGTAGACGCCCAACAACGGCGGCATAATAGGCCAGCCGTGCAGGCGGTGACACCAGTCGATGGCGGATGAGGCGGCCGGTCGGTGAAGACGTAGACGCCCAACAACGGCGGCATAATAGGCCAGCCGTGCAGGCCGAAACACTAGTCGGCGGCGGATGAGGCGGCCGGTCGGTGAAGATGTAAACGCCCAACAACGGCGGCATAATAGGCCAACCATGCAGGCGGTGACACCAATCGACGGCGGATGAGGCGGCCGGTCGGTGAAGATGTAGACACCCAACAACGGCGGCATAATAGGCCAGCCGTGCAGGCGGAAACACCAGTCAGCGGCGGACGAGGCGGCCGGTCGGTGAAGATGTAGACGCCCAACAACAGCGGCATAATAGGCCAGCTGTGCAGGCGGTGACACCAGTTGGTGGCGGCGAAAGCAAACCGGCGGTGAAGATATAGACGCCTAACAACGGTGTTGTGACCAACCAACTGTATAGGCGAAGACAGCAGTCGGCGGCGACGATGGCGAGCTGGTGGTGATGTTCTGACTGATCCATTCCTGGAGCGTAAGAGATAAGCTGAAAACCATGAATCCCTTTTATGCATATCTGGATTTGGATCCTGCAGAACAAACATATTTTATGCATATCTGGATTTAGATCCTGCAGAACAAACATATAGGATGAGTAGTATCTGATGTAAATATAATACTGGAGAAAAATGCAAGTATTTTAAAATATTTATAAATATGTATTTCTCCTCTTGTCAATTTTGATTTCCCCGAGCAGATGACTCCTTACGTTTAAACACTCTGCCCGACTAGTCATAGTCCCCAAGCATCAGGAGTCGGCCTAGGCACTTCCCAAACATGCATATGAGTGACATGAGTTCGTCATTAATGGAACTAAGTTTCACGAATCAGAATTTACTACTCGAGTACTTTTGCAATTGTGAAGAGCAGAAAATAAATTTATCTTATCTCTATGCTTTTAATTTATTCTGAATAATACTTAGCACCTTGCGTTACTCGGTCCATCCAACGAGCCCCCGGGTGCTAGCAATCGGCCCAAAGGCAACTATCCATTGGCAAACCAAACGGAAAGCATAGGAAGATAGAACTCCATAACTCGATAGGAACTTTATTGTTACTCGGATTATTTCACAAGCAATCAAGATAAATAAAAATTGTTTAAAAATATGATATAACATCTATAGCCCTCGACTCACTAGTCAACGGAGAACCAGTTAATGTAGTGAGGCAGAGGAAAAGGAAAATATCATATAAAGAAAATTATTGATGACTTAGCTGTGTAATATTCCCCTTGGTGATGGCAGAGGTGGCCAATGTGGGAACAAAGTCGTTCATCAATAATAATGAAGACACCAGTCGGCGGCGACGAAGGCGGTCGACGGTGAAACCGAAGATGCCCACCAACGGCGGCATAATTGGCCAGCCGTGTAGGCAGAGACACCAGTCAGCGGCGGCGAAGGCAAGCCGGTCGGTGAAGACGTGGACGCCCATGAACGGTGGTGTGGCCGACCAACCGTATAGGCGAGGACACCGGTCGGCGGCGACAGAGGCAGGCCGGCGATGAAGTCGTAGACACCCAACAGCGGCGACATAATAGGCCAGCCGTGCAGGCAGCAATACCAGTCGGCGGCGACGAAGGCCAGCCGGTCGGTGAAGACATGGACGCCCGTGAACGGTGGTGTGACCAACCAACCGTAAAGGCGAGGACAACAGTCGGCGGCGACGGAGGCAGGCCGGCGGTGAAGTCGTAGACGCCCGACAGCGGCGGCATAATAGGCCAGCCGTGCAGGCAGAAATACCAGTCGGCGGCGGCGAAGGCCAACCGGTCGGTGAAGACGTGGACGCCTGTGAACGGTGGTGTGACCAACCAACCATAAAGGCGAGGACAACAGTCGGCGGCGACGGAGGCAGGCCGGCGGTGAATGTCACGACCGGAATTAACCCAACGGGCGTTCCTTTCGTGCGTGTATTATTCCTTGTCCCAGGAGGCAAGGTACACCAAGAGTTGATATAATTCAGAGTTTAACAAGCGGAAGCGTAAATAGATAATTTATTACATGGGCGACGAAGGCCCAGCACACACAAAGACAAACGAGAAACAGCGGAAGACTAGGGCGACGACCACAGGCGCTTGACGGCAGGCACGAGCTAGACACCAAAGCCTTCATCAACCAGGGGCTCCTCTTCTGGGTTGGGAAAAATTGAGCAAGACTGAGTACAACCACCGTACTCAACAAGACACACCCACAAGTGCATAATAAATGCAAGGGAGTACAAGGGAGTTATAATATAAAGGGTTAGGGTTGCAGTAAACAGCATTTAAAGATGCTTAGTTGCTCAAAGCTATTTTGTAAACACGATTCTAGAACTATGCAATATTATTTATCAAGGCCGTGAACCCACACGAACCTGCCTTAACCCAAGGCCTACGATGATTCAGACCGAACCGGCAACCCGACCCTGGGTCCCAGCTCGTCCCAAGCCAACCCAGGCCAACCATTCCACATTTTAGTTGTTAAGCAGGTTTTAAGAATTAAAACACTAACTTGGGTACATTGCTCGGCTTGCCCATAACCGAGGGCGCGGCTATTCGAATAGATTATACTCTGATCAGAGGTGTACATCTTTACCCACAAGACACATCTTCCTCACGTGTAACCACGTGCCACATACCACCATGGTATACGGACGGAAGACATGACATAGTTTCCAACCCATCCTAGCCATAGACAAGAGTACCGACCCAATCCCACCTACGGCCGGAACCCCCGGGACAGGCAGGCAGGACTGAGCCCCTAGCAGCAGGACACGGGCCTGTTCCACGACATCTCGACTACCGGGCCGCAGCTCGTGTAGCCTTCATTTGCCCTGGAGATGTCCATCGACCCCCGACTTCGTCCATCTCCATCCGTGTACTTTTGTTTATAACCAGACTGAGCCACAAACTAAGCCTTACCCACTAGACATGTGGAAGTACGGTAGTGCTTTGCAACAGAGGCCCGAAGACCGGTCCTTATATGGCCGAGGTGCTACTATCAAAACCATGCACCCCGAGCCCAGCCTAAAACCATTTTGGGGATTTTGAATAGAGGGGGCGGTGTGAATCCAATTCCACAATACTCCAACAATTCCAAAGTGTC